AATTGCAGGATGAAAGAAAACCATATCACCCATGCAATAACAAATAGTTTTCAAAAAATAAATAGTAACATAAGTCATGCTTTGTTAATAAAGCTTTCCTTGATACTGATGACTCTTTGGTATTAGTGAAGTAAGTGAAATAATGTTTAGGATATTAAAAGATCACTGGATAAGAAAGAAAATAACTAAAATCACTAACCTACAGGTGCCTTTATGATCATTGTATAAAAGATAGGTGAATATGAAACTTCATTTCTAAGTTAAGCGTGTAAGAAATCCACATAGCATGATCTAACATGAAAATATGACATAGGTACGTACACCACAACCATTTACTTATACATCTGGTATTGGCTGTAACGCTCAATAAACAGTGAGGCTTCCTAACAACTCTACAAGCAAAGTTTTCTGCTGTTTCAGGAGAACAAAAGACCATAACTTCTAACAACCAAATAAGATAATAAACAATGAAGCAATACATATTCTAAGGCAATGTGAAAGGCATTTCACAGAGACAGTTGGTCTTTCAAATTTAGTCATTATGTACTTTTGAATTTTCATTTATTTTTCCATCAACAATGGACTTCTAAGAGCTGGTTCATATCACAAAAGACAAAATTCTAAGGAAAGAAAGGCTCTCAATTTAAATTTTGATTTAAGAAGTGAGTCACCAGCATTAACACAACACTCAAGAGGTTTCAATTCATCTCCTGGCGTTGAAGTTAATTGTTAAATAAACTATGGCTGACCAAGTCATAGACTTAACAGCTGCGTGCAAAATTCACACCCAATACCAGTACAAAACTTAAAATAATTTATGATTCCATGGATTGAGCTGACCCTGAGAGTTTGACATAGCAAAACTTATCATAGTGCTACATATAAATATAACAATTCATAAAAACAGTATAAAAGATTCTTCTCCAATAACATTCAATAAATAGTACAAAGTATATTTTCAACAATTAACTTTCAGACAATAGTTAAATTTTAACAAAGCTATCACAGACAAAACAACAACCATCTGGTTAATTCTGATTCATGTTTTGACGATATGTTTAACACAGAATTTATTTAAAAGGGGATTGGCAGGGAAAGTAAACAAAAAAAATATAGCCAATGATTTGTGTGGGATTGTGAGAGGAAATTACGAATGGTTCCTAACTCACATTTCACAAACAAGAAAGGAAAACATGTTTAAGACATGTTATTGGTTTTTATAAAAGAGCAATAAAACCTGGAAGACCAAAGTGCCAAATTACAAATATTACCAACTATGTCTTTGATAAAACATTAATGTAGATGTAATACTGAGGTTCACTAGTAAGATCACAGTCAGCACCAAAACCTACAGATACAGTACACTTCCTGCATACTTAAGGTTTTCAAAAAGAACAAAACAATTTAACAATGAAATTCATGTTGAGTATTGGAGAGAGAAGAAGAAGGATAGAGAGCAGTCTTAAGTTGAAAGTCATCCATTACCATCTCTATATCATAAATATTTAGGGAATGCAAAAACCTCACTCTATGAATGTCCCAATATGATTGATTTAAGTTATTGAAGTGTGGTATTAAAACTGGCCCATTACCTACCTTATGCCAGTGAAAAAGACTAAAAATATGTGCTCAATTAAAAATACAGTATAGAACAGAAAATTGCACTGTGAGTTATGGTATGATGAAAAAGTACATTACAAACGTGGTGCATAACCTAAGCTACCATAGGCGAGAGTGTCGGTATGCAGATTTATCTTCTGATATTTTATCGACACATTTTGGCTGGTGAAAGCCTGTAGAACACGTTGCCTCTTGAGACGATGAATTGGCTTCTCCAGCTATGATTGTGGTGTGCTCGCTACTGCCATTTAGTGCATCCTGATCTCTGCCAAAAATAACAGGCATTTTAGTTTAGTGAAGGCTCTAGCTAGAAAATAATTGAACAAGTAAATACAATTAATAAGTATCAAATGCAATAAAGATGTGGGCCTCAGTGATTTGGTTATGATGAAGTAGTTATGCTTTATAGTCAGTAATAGAAAAAATCTAAAGAGATGGCAGTTATAAGAAATCGACTTGCAAGGGTAGCTACGGTACAAGCAGAAAGAAATTAATGTTTGCATGAGTGGATTAGGTTAGATCATATTTAACTGATAAATAACTCATACTGCTCAGTTGAGAATTACCATACTGAGTGCTGTGTGACCACACAATGTTTGTATCCTTTATACCATCTACTGCACTATGTTACAAACCATATCTACAAGAACAAGAACTGATGAGGTCTGATATGGTACATCAAACCATTACCCACCAGCATAAAACACTGTGCAGTAAACCTATGCAGAATTGTGAGTGAACTGTCATAGAAGCACAAATATGGTAAAGCTGTAGCTATACTGATTTTCGTAAAATATAGTATCTTTATGGCATTTCAATGGAAGTACACATGGTAGAAACAGAACTTTCGAGGAAGAAAACAAATAAGGTATAACTCACTCGCTTCTTGGTGTGCTCTGACTGATACCATCATGTAGAATCTAAAACCAGAAAACCCATTTCAAAGACATACATAACAATTCTACTAGGCTGAAAGAAATAACACTAGGACTGAGTGTTTACCATTCCCATTGTTGACTCTGGCTTGTATGCTGAAAATCGTCCAGCACTTCTAGATGCTATATCATATGCACTACAAAGAGAAAAATTAGTGCCTACTTGGTTAGTTCAACCGTTAAAGATTTCACTAATATATAAAGTGTGCAACTGACACACACTTTAAGGTGTTTAACACCGTGTAGCACACTTCTATGTGTGCAACACGAGTTTGAATAGTTGGAAGTGTTCAACAGGTGTGTTGCACACTTTTAAATGTTCAACCTGACCGACGAGCACTATAGCTCAACGCTCAAGTTAAACACTAAAAAGTGTGCAACACACCTGTTGAACACTTCCAACTATTCAAAACTCATGTTGCACACATAGAAGTGTGCCACACGGTGTTAAACACCTTAAAGTGTGTGTCAGTTGCACACTTTATATATCAGTGTTTCCATTCGAAAGCTAGGTTAAAATTCATACCTGTTCCTGTTTGTTGACTTAACAGATGACATCTGATTGTTTACTCTTCGAGTCACTTGCAAGCTGCTATTTCCATTGCAAATTTTTTGGCCATCACCTACAAAACAAATTTTGCTTGAGTGCATTGTGGAGAAGCAAATAAAAAGTTCTCAAACTACAAGATTTCAAGTTTCTATTTCCCCCCTTCCAAACTAAACTTGATTCTGAACTGGTGTTAAGTTTCTTACACACACAGTAGTAATGAAATATTTTCTCCAAGCATGACCTACTCATACTTAAAAATCTCACCTTCCTCTCCTTTAGAAGTTGTTTCCACAGATTTATTGACAGCTTAGAAAAGAGCAATGCAAGTAGCTTTAACACTAAAGAGGCCTACAACTGACTATTTGTTTAAGACATTAATTGGTAAGTGTGACAATTTATTGTTAATACCAGTATTTAGGTGCAATGCAGAGGTTAGGCAGTATCTAAGGAATATATAGAAGATCCTTTACCCACACCACCACAAAATGTATTGTCAGCTTACCTGATCCATGGTCAAAGAACCCATTGAAAACAACAAAATTGTTCATTTGAGGGAGGATATGTTCAAGTCCATAATGTTTGTAAAGAAATGAAAGAAACTTTTCTGAGGGCCGGTCTATTGCCATTTGTTGAGGACGAACATTCTGATGCTAAAAGAATATTAGATTAGATTAGATTGAATAAAAAATAAAAACATAAACATAATGTATGAATAAAAATCCCTAATAACAAAACTATTCTCACCTCAAGCATGTACTCAAACAGTTTCTTTCCACAGCCAGTACGTTGCTTAGATTCATGAATGTAAAAGTCTAAAATACATAAGGGCTCAACTTCATGTTGATACCCAGCTAGATCAAACATAAATAGTTTTTTGCGTCCAATTTTCAGAAGTCCAACAACACTTCCTCTCCCGCTGCAAAGTGTATTAAATCAGTGATAAGAATTAGCTCAACATTTCTTTGCCAAAGGAAAACATTGGTATAAGTCGACATAAAATACTTACTTAGAATCCCCTGGATCAGTTAAGAGATAAAGAATATGATCGGACAACTTCATTTTCGCTCCACTTGTGATAGGTCTAATAAGCTGTTGAGCTTTCGCTGATGCCCAACCGATTTCATCCAATATTATATTGATTTTGTTAGCACAGTCTCTGCGATTTTAAATAATACAAGAAATGAGGTGAGGAATTCACAACCCAGCAGCTTAACAGGGCATAACATTTAAAGGTGCATGAGTATAACCTCTTGTTAGACGTACAACAGTTTTAAGCGGAATAGTCAGAGAAAAATATCGTATCCATGGATACGAAGGAAGACAAATTTGTGAACGTTAATGTGCAAACTAAAATTAGAGCTGACAAGACAAAACTGATAATGAGCGAAGGACGTTTACTCACACTTTAGCACTTCCATCTCCTGGAAAGCCTTCAGGCAGCAATTCCTTGGTAACAATGGTAATGTCATTTTTGAATATATTATTCACGGGGAAAAAATTAAATTCCATTATAACGCATAAGAAACTAGGGTGCACAAAATTCGGACAAAATTAGGAACACTTTCTCTCAGGTAGGTAAAAGCAAATCGCAGCAGTTGAAAACAGAACAGTAACACGGCAACGGAGAAAGCTTCCAGTACCTGGCACTGGGTGCGCTACTTCCACTGTGACTCCAAAGCGCCAACATCGTAACTTTTTAATCAATAAAAACAATGCCAACTCAAAGCAAGGTATCTTTGAAAAACCGTTCCAAATCCTATTTTTTTTTCATTTATTGACATTCAATTGAAATTAATTTCTTCAAATATGGAGTTTCAACGACAGTTTTAAAATATTGTTTACTGTAATGTGGTTGGTTAAGCTGCAGTTGTCTTTTAGCGAGCAAGTGCTGCAAAATGTCATTGTTATTATTTTTGAACTGAAGGAGTTGGCGCGTTTACTCTGCTAGTCTGTTTTGGTTCAGTTTGTGCACGTTATAAAGGAAGGTTAGACAGGTAACTGAGGATGGACATGCTGCTTTACCTTTAACTACCCTCGTTTTCTTATAATAATTTTCTCTTCCCAGCTGATTGCTTGGAAAGAGCGCGCAGCACTACAACTCCCGTGCACTTCTGCTAGTTCTTTGTCATGCGAAAGTAGTGTTGTGCTATGCCTGAATACCAGCTGTTCGTCCTTAAACTTGAGTCTTCGATCTACATCTATCACCTATTAGTCGCTTCAAAGCACGCAACATGTTAGTGGATGACAATAAATAGTACCCCTTATTTGCTTTAATAACTGTTTGTGTCATGTTTTGGCACTGGAAACTGCAAACTTGGAATCTACGATCTCGCATTTCCTTATGACGAGGTTCAACTAAATTCAGTTACAACGTTATTTGTACTCACCCTGTTCTCTAAACGCTACGTTACGCCAATCTGATATTCGCTTTATTAACTTTAGTACTGGTGTGGTGCGTCTTCTTGTATCCCTTTTCTGGTTTTTCTAGATTGTTTACATTCTGGTACTATACCCTTGAAAAGGTGGTGACAAATTTTGTTTGTGTTTGAACTGTCCATACCCTCATATGAAGTATTGGTGACAATTCTTACAATATGCCATTCTTTGTCATCCACAACTCTTCATTTTCCTTGTTATGTATGTCCCTCTTTGAGTTTTCATTGTTAACCTACTTACACATTTTTGTCTTAAAAACATTCTGGAAAATGTTTTGTTTATCAACCAGTATTAGGATTTTCTGATCTTTTTAAAACCCTGTGGATTGTTTACTTACATGACCATTGTAATACAGTAATGCTTCAACCTTTTAAGTGACAAGCACATGACTTTGCCCCTTTGTTTTTGATTTGTTTCAGGATGTTAAATGATCCATAGGATTGGTTGCTGCCATGCACTTGCCTTGATCAGCTTGCCCCAAATTGAGGTTATTCAGAGTTTAATGAGTGTCAGAGTGCAAACTTATTGTCTTTCCTTTGGAGAGGCTGCAGTATGCATTCAATGGATGAGACAATGGACACATCAGAAGTAGCTAGTGTGTCGGATGAAACAGATCATAGAAATGAAGAAAGGAACACTTCACCAATATTGACCCGCCGCATACATCAGCGTCACATGACACCAAGGGTTGTAACTTCTACTGGGTGGATACAAGCCTTATCCTCTAGGTCACAACGCCATGGTACACCTAGAACTGGACCTTCCTCCAGCCGTCACAATATTCTTCAAACTGCTGAGACATTTAATCAAGAAGATGCAGTGCCACCACCTGAAGTCACAGATTCAATCATAATTCATCGACCAATGGAAATACAAGGAAACATTTCTGAGGTTCAAGCAATACCTCAAAGTTCTTCTCATATCATTGAGCCCTCAGCCATTGAAGGAAGTAATTCTAATCCCGGAACCTCTAATAATGACAACCCATCTGAACCTGTGTCAGTGGAACAAGATGAAAGCAACAATGAGCAAGAAATAAGAGCAATTGAAGACCAAGATGAGCATCAAGACAGTGGAAGAGATTCTGTGGAAGAAACATCACGTGATGGTTTGGAGGATCAAGTTGCAGCTGTACCTTCTTCTTCTACAGGAGGTGATGTTGAAAATTTACCTCTTGCTCAACGAATTCAATCACCAGGTAAATTTTGTTTTTTAGTCTTATCCTGTTATTCATATGATTGAAAAGTAGTACATGTTAGTAAGTTTTGGTTCTATTATTTTTTTGAAGAACTTATTCACCTTGAAGGAAGCCCTGAAAGAAATCAACCCAGAATAAATCTTCCAGAGAGGAATTCTCCTGAAAGGACACTTCCTCAAAGAATATCTCCTGAAAGACCCCCTGTGGCCCAAATCTCTCCAGAAGTGCCTCCAGTTTCAACACCACCTGTTGGGAACTCACCTCGAAGGCAGGAAGCTTCTGAAAGGACTCCTCCTGAGAGAAGCCCTTTGGAGAGAAGTCCACCTTCAAAAAAGGCAAAGGTTGAAGCTGTAGCTGACAGTGATGAAGAAGAAGAGGGCAAATTATGTCCAATTTGCTTTGATGCTTGGACAAACTCAGGTGATCATCGCCTTGTCTCCCTACGCTGTGGGCATCTATTTGGACAGCATTGCATCAAACACTGGCTAGAGGTAATGTTTAAACACTTGAAATCTCATAATTATCCTTGTTACAATATGTTCAGTGTCGCAGCACTTTCTGCGAGTAACAGAAAACCTCCAAACTTAAGCACATTGTAGTCAGACCACACTGTATCAATTTTAGGGAGTTTATATTTTAATACATAATGATGATGATTTTTTACTTGCTACAGATACATAAAGCAAGTGATAGGAAATGTCCTCAGTGTAAAAAGAAAGCAACCGTAAAGGATATTAGAGCACTATATGCCTCAAAAATTCGTGTTCTGGATACTAGTGAACAGGAAGCATTAAAAGAAACCATTAAGAAAGTATGTACTCAATATTTGTAAAATAGTAACGATCTATTTAAAACCTGGTGTAAATCTATGAATGGTTACTGTTTAATCAGCTTGAAGAAGAAAAAGAGTTGCTTTCTCGTGAGCTTGCTCATGAAAGAAAACTACACCAAGATGCTGTTAAGACGCAGCAAGAGCAGCAGCTAAAACTACAACAGCTACAAAACCAAGGAATTTTTTCCAATTCTCTTCAAACTTTAGGAGCTACCTCTAAGGTAGTTGCAGCTGTGTCAGCGCAGATTAAGATTCATCAAACGAACAGAGTTAGTAAACAGCTCTTTGTTAATATGTGCCGGAATTGATTTTGTAGGTTCTTTTCTTTTGAATGAAATACTTTCGTTTCAGGTTGAAGTTTCTCGGGAAGGAGGCTGTCGTGTTTTGGCCTATAATGAATGGAAAAATGTTTTGGTTGCCAGTCAACAATCTATCACCCCTCTGTTCCCTGATTTTGGCATCAGATTGATTGATACAGAAGAATTTCGTCTTCGTCAGTTAATGCCTATGCATACCAAACCAATTCGTGACCTGTCATTTAATCCTCACCGCAAAGATTTACTATTGACTGCGTCATTGGATAAAACTGCAAAGATGTTTTGTATGACATCAAATTCTGTAAGTAAATATGCATTTTTAATTTTTTTCATTTGTTTCTGAAGAACATTTTAGTGTTATTGGAAAGAATTGTGTCTATATTATTGGATTGCAGTCTATTTTGAGCTTCAATGCAGAGGTCCCTTTGTGGAGCTGCTGTTGGGATGGTAACAACTCCAATATCTTTTTTGCTGGAAGTCAGAATGGTTTAACATTTCAGTATGACATTCGAAACACTCGTAAGTATTTTAGCTTTAGCTTAATTCATCCTATTCTTAATCTTTGGATTTTGTCTAATAAAATACGTTGACTTTGTCATAGATACTGAGGTGAGCCGCATTGCAACACAAGGTGATGGCACTCCTGTAATCTCTCTTGCTGCAATTCCAGCAGGTTCATGGTTACCTAATGGAGGGTTTCTGTCATGTCGTCTTAATCGATTAAGAGTATATGAGAGAAGTAGTAATTCCGAATTCAGAGCGTATCCTCTGAACATTGATGGCCCATTTTCAGCCTTAAACTATGACCACAAATCAAGTCACATGCTAGTCTCTACGAGACCAACCTCACAAAATCCACATGTACAGCATCAACTTTATGAGGTAAAATCTGGAATTTGAAAAGGCAAATGAAATGTCTATTGCTTACAATTGTTGGCAAATTTACTCTTGATTTTGATTCACAGATGGGATTTGCTGGGGCACAGCCACGGGCCAATATGGTTCATTCCTTTGTTGGAAGCACCACACAGCGTGTTTTGTCAAGACCTTGTCAATTGGAAATTGATGGTACTGTGAAAGATACATTAATTTGTGCTCATCAAGAAAGTGACAGTTATGTGGCAATCTGGAGTGTTTCTAGTGGACAGAAAGTTCCTGCCGGACCTCTTCACAGCCCAGAACATATATTAGATCTCTGCCCCTTGAAGGTCAATAATCGCACGTACCTTGCTTCTCTCTCTGAGAAGACATTAAGAGTATATCAGTTCTCATGAAGTTTCATTTTATTCAATCCTTGATGATCTCTTAGACTGCTTAATGGCACTCATTGTTTGTTTGAGCGTAGTGACCTTGTGATAAGCAACTGTATTATATTTGCCAAACACTCGATTTTTATGATAACATGTTCGTAAGTTTCAAGCCATGCAGATGTTGGATTTTAAAAAAGAACAAAATTTTAATGCATGCTGTCTTTTTTTTCTTTTTTTTTTCTATCTTTTAAAGGACATTGTCTTTCAGGGTACTTTTCACATTGCTTGTATGACATAATTAAGTATCTAAGCTAAGAAGTTGTTTTACTATTGGCTGGCCTAAAGTTATTTATTTCTAATCAGTTAATAATAGAGGTTCTTATTAAGTACAAAAATTGTGAGAATGTACAAAAAAATAATTTTGGAAGTCAGTCATATATTTTCCATACCAAATCTTCTATATTACTTGTAATCAAAAACTAATTTGCATACAGTTTTAAACTTTGATAATTGTGTAGCCACAAATAGATAGTTGCTCACCATTTCAGTGTTCTACATGTGTATTGTTAAGTGTCATGTACCTGCCATCCCATTTGAAGTGCTTGTCAGCTGACATAAGAATGGAAAGAAACAACTGTACTTCATGATCTTAACACATTTTAGTGTTGCTTATTTTTGTAAGAGCAGAGCAATAAACCTTTATATGATTTGAACAAGTGTGTGTGGTTTGTTTTAATTAACATTGTGCAAAGGGGAATGAAAATAGTGCATAATTCATGTTGGCATCTCATTATTAAAACCTATATAGTACAATAAACTACTGGCCAAACATTTGTTAAACCACAACATTGTTGAGGTAGACTAGGGCATTTTCAATAAATCCTTTAACTTTTTACACAACCAATTATTAACATACAGTACATCAGGGGCAATACAGCAAGAGTTTAAGTACTAGGTTTCCTAGTAACAAAAGAAAATAATTGTGAGTAATATCAATGGGATTATTTGATGTTCATTTTCATCTCTAGAGTTTGACAGTTCATAAATAAGTTAGAAAGCAATCATAAACATAAAAACCATACAAAGAACAAAGATGGAATAATGTCCTAATAACATTTCTGAGAGACTAGGAACAGCTTTTGAGCAGTCTATGATAGTAGAGACAAAATTAAGCTTCAATAACATTTCGGTGCAGTTTATACAATTTGAGAAGTACAGAAATTAACAAACACTTGAGAGTTTTGAGCCAGTTTCATTCATAACAGAAATGAATACCACATCTAATTTAATAGCATTCAGTAATGCTAGTGACACTTTGAGAAACAAAATACTGAATACAAAGCATGTTTATAATAATTATTCAAAAACTGATGAAAATCCATGATCAGGGTCCATAGTAATAATTTGCAGTTGGATATTACCTTCTGCTTCCAACTGTTGCTCGTCACTTTGAATGATGACATGATGAACTTCACCCACATGCTCAACACCCTCCATTGGTACATCAAGGTCTTTGACATCACTAAGTTCTGGAGGAGCTTGAATAGGAGTGTTTGGAATTACCATTTTATATTCACATGCTGGAGGTTTGGTATTCAGCATATCTTTGTTATTGTGAACTTTAGCAAGATGCACAGCCATTTTTTGTCTAGTGGTAAAGCCTTTGTCACAAGGTTCACAAAAGTATGGGTAAGCACCAGTATGCAGCACAACATGTCTTTTTAAACAATTGCTCACAGTAAACGTGAGAGCACAGTAAGGGCATTTATATGGTCTTTCACCTGTATGCATTCTTCTCCGATGGACTGAAAGAAGTGAAGTGTGCCGGAACCTTTGACCACAAGTTTTACATTTGTAAGGAAGAGGATTATCATGCCATCTTCGATGTATTCGCATGGTACTGTTAAATACAAACATTTTCCCACATACATCACATGTATACCGTTTTTCTTGAGTATGACGACCCATATGTTCATCTAGAATTGCTTTTGACATAAAGCCACGACCACACACATCACAACAAAATTTGTACTGTCCAGTATGCTTGGCACAATGCAATTTCAGACCAGCAGCTGTTTTTAAGACTCTATCACATTGAGAACACGGAAATCCTTCATTATTTTGGACATGACGTCTTTCGTGATCCCTCAGTTTTTTAATAGTGTCAAATTGTTTTTCACAATGCTGGCATTTTAATTCTCTATGAGCATATTCTTTATGAAAATTAAGTTGCGAAAGTTTACGAAAAGATTTTCCACATTCTTCACAGGTTTTTTCAGACTCAGCATCATGCGTTGCTTCATGTTTTCGACGTGCTCGTATTGATTCAAAAGATTCATGGCAGAACTGACATTTAAATATCTCTGGATGGTTGTCAAGCATATGCTTTCGCAGAGCAAATTTGTCAGCTGTTATTTCTTTGCAGACTGTGCATGCTACTGGCACAGGACTTTTAAGAGTTAAATGTCTTTGCATATGTTTGTCATAGGTACGTTGATTTTTTAGCTTCATCTGACATATTTCACATTCTAAGGCAAAGGTAATGCTATGAGACTCCAAATGCTTTTGGATTTCATCCTGATCTTCTGTGCGGAACTTACAAATTGAACACACAAAAATTTTAGGTTTACCCTCTTGCCCCTCTATATCCTTTGCCTCGACTGGTTGATCATCAAGTTCAGCTGACACCAAATCAACAGCTAAGACATTGTCATTTTCACCCTCTTGCTCAACTATATCAGCAAAGGAAACTTCAACACCATTCACAAAAATTTTGTTACCATTCTTACCAGACTCAACATCCTGGTCAAAGCCCTCTCCTCCATCATTCAAGTAGTCTTCATCCTCATCTTCTTCATCCATTTCTTCAATGTTTTCACCTTCAGTGCCTTCTGACACCATGTGAAATTGATCATCACCACTGAACAACCCAATTACAGAGGCTATTTCCTCATCTGCATCACCTTCCGTCTCTATTTGTTTCACAATATCTACCTCAGCAGATGATGGATCTGGTTTCTGCGAAAACATGTTTTCTTCTTTAGATGCTTCAGTTTCAACATTAACTGATACTTCAGAGAATTCTGATTCTTCTCTAAGTGTGTCTCGACATAATGAGTCAAAGTCAGTTGATTGTGAATTTTCCTCTGAAGGTAGTTGATCAGGGACATTTCTAGTGGGATCAGGAGCTTCATTCTGTTCAACTTTTATCACACATATTACTGAGGACTCGTCAGGGATATCTTGGGTTATACATTCATGAACTGTTAAACTTTCTATTTGTTCATAAGCAGCCCCACAGTCTGCACACTGATATATCTTGTGTGTACTAGCATGCTCATCTAACGCCACTTGGGAAGTAAAACACTTGCTACACACCTCGCATTCAAAAGACTTAGGAAAAACATGTTTTCGAGAATGCTCACTGAGTTCTAGCTTTGTATTAGCTTTGAAATCACACATACTACACCCAAAGAGAAACTTTTTGGGAGAAATGGAGACATGAGACTTTTCATGATTTCTTAGTTCCTTTGATGATTTACATTTCAAACCACAACTTTTGCACTTCCAAACCTTAGATGGTGTAGGCTTTAAGGGAATGGCTAAAGGCTGTTGCTTTGCATTTAAAGCAGTAAGCATATCACATATCCTAGAATTCTCCTCCATTAAAGATGTTTTGAAATCAATGTCCAGATGTCCACCTTTCCCATACATGATCTGCAAAATAAATTCCAAAGGTATGTTACATTTTTTTAATTATTTAGGTCAAGTTGATTCAAATATTAAGTTACCTGGTTAACATCTTCTTCTAGATTGAGTTTAGCCTTTTCATCAAACAATAAAGCTTGATCTTCAGAATCTGGAGGTTCTTCTTTAATAACTGGAAAATGTAATTTAATTTTCTTAGCTTGAAATTAGAACTTCAAGGCTAAGAATGATGAATAGGAAATAAAAAGACTTACTTTCAAGGAGACCATATTTCTTACGAAGATAGCTGGTTATTAGGCGTCGAACTTTATCAACATCCACCTCAAGTTTGTCCAATAAATTTATTAGATCATAGCATCGAGTGCAGGCTTCATCACAGGCTGTTACTACCACCATGAAACCATCTCCCATTAACTGTCCAATTTTTGTTGGAAGCCCAGTGCGTGAGTATTCCGTGTGATTGGACAGTAAAAGGGCATTATTATCTCTTGAGTGGGACAAATCTTTGTCACATACAAAACAGTGACTACTCATTGTATCATTAGCATCAGGCAAATCCTGGAACATGGATAGAAAAAATTAATAACTTTAAAAAAATTACGGGTGAAAAATCTTAGGTATGGAAACAATCGGTGTAACATTGTCAAAGTTCCAGACAAGGAAACTATGTAAATTTGAGCATAAATTTCTGGCGATCGGTTTAGTATTAATTTAAAATGAAGTAGGTAGTTCAGAAAATGATATTTGAGTTATTCAAGTAGATATAGCATTTTATCACAATGCTGCTAACAAATCAACATATTTTTTTTAGGTTAAAGGGGGTGCAGAAAACTGTGAGTAATCTTGAAGATTAGCTCAGTAAGCTGCCACATTTAAGTTCAAACTGTAACTAAATTGTTCAGTAGGTTAATACAATAAATGGGTATTGAAATCTACAATTGAATGTTGTTCCTTACCTCTGCCATGTCAATACAAGTTGTACCCTCACAAAGTGTTTAAGAACAATCCATCAGTAGGTGTAAAACGTATAACCAGGAGGTTTTGATGTAAAAATAGTAAATACCAAAGTGGTAATCCGTAAAATAATAGTTAACTGCAGACAACTTTGCAGGGCCTTTCAATAAATCCGCGCGAATAACGGGTGACGCGTTCCTAATCAACGTATCAAAGAGTGGTCGTTCTCCTGGTCCAGCACAATCTGACATCTGACCGCCATTTTGACCCCCATTTGGTTCTTGTAGTACAACGTTCTTAGCGCGGATAATTTGATTATGGTAACGGGCACGACTGGCATTACCCAAGCATTTAAAGAAAGTAATGGTACGTACAGACATATCGTAGGTTGATTGGTTTATTTATTTCCATAGTTCATTATTACAAAATATAAAAGAGTATTTATAATACTATTTTATTAAAATTTTATCTAACTATAAGGACTATAAGCCAATGAATTTATTGAGATCTTCTACAGTTTTTTTCAAATCTGTTCTTGAAAGAGATGGTAATGATTGGTAGGAGGATTGTGAGATTAGGTACTGGGCATCTTTAATTATTCTATTAACTGCATCTGTGACATCCTTTTCTACAAAATCTGTTAAAAGGTCGTCATCAAGGAAAGCGCTTAAATCATTGTCATCACATTCCAAGCGCATTTTCTTGGCTGGTGGGTCAGAATTTTTAGGTGAGGCACATCTGGATTTTTTTGCTTCACATTTGTGTTCACAAGACACATTTGCTTGAAATGTTAAATAGTCTCTCAAAGTTTTCACTTTTATGCGGGTTGCAGGAATCTCTCTCTGAAGATAACATGTCACATCTTCTGTAATGGACACATTGTTTGCTACTGCATCTGGTACAATAGATTCATGGACAGTAAAGTGAGCGAAGTATTCAAAAGTTTCCAGAGCAGTATCCTTCACAAGAGGGTGTGAGTCTTCTAATAAACAGGTAAATATACTTGAAATGTTAGAGCATATGAGCCCTTGATCACTTGTTGATTCAAGAGTTTTTGTTGCCAAACCATGAAGAATGTGTGAGATTGATAGCTTTAGAGATGGACCACAGTGTTTAACCAACCTTGCTAGTTGGTTCAAAACCTGTTAACAGATATTTGATATGAAAGCACAGCAATAAAACTGTTCATAAAATTGAAATAACTAGTTACTGACCTGTAAAATATCACAATTGTTCATGACATGGACAAGATATTCTGTACACCTGCATAGTATTCTCAAGAAGTTTTGCAGCCACTTTGATTCTCCAATAACATTTTCCGAATGACTGAAATTCTGAGATAAATCACCTCTGCAAGCATAGTGCCACAGACTTATAACTCCAGGTACAATGGTGTCACTAGGTGATTTTATTATTGATGGGGAAATTTCCAAAGCAGCACACAGCCCACATAAGCCTTGCACCTTTAAAATAAATATTGTTTTTTAAATTGAGTTATTCAAAGAACTAGATTGATCAATCAAGCCTTAATCCAGGGATAGCTTACCATTGTGATAAATGAGGGTTTGTTTGGATTTGAACAGGAAAAGTTTTGAACATCAGAAGTTGCTCTAGTGACAAGTAATTGTGAAACAGTTTCCCTCATTTCCTTTGACAGACATTCAAGTCCAAAAATATACCACAGTAAGGGATGTTTAGTTGGTGGATATTTTTCAACCAGCATTTGTTTGCCTTTTGTACCAAGAAATGAACACATTCTTCTGAGAAAAACTGAAATAACTGTGCAATCAACTCTCCCAAATAAACTGGCAGGATCAAAAGCTGACACAATGTCAGCTAAGTACAACACTTGATCTAGGACAAGCTCAGAACTTCCAGCCCTAAAAAACAAAAGATATTTTAGAGGGGAAAATAAATCACAATGATATTGTATGGTATGATTGATTGATTGACAAACCTTGCACAAATAGACCACACATCTCCAACGAACATAGCTGGCCAAACAAAAGGTTCCATCAAACTATCAAACATAATTGCCTCTACTCTTTCAAATTGATCAGAATTTAATGACAAGATAAAACCGGCACAGTGGCAGCAAAGAAATTCATATAAGTCACAACTTCTGGGAGATTGTCCTGATTTTACAACAGCTGGTAACCAAATTTCACAACTAAGTTCATAGTGAGCTAAGAGAACAAAAAAAAAGTACCTTAGTAAAATTAGCGTACAACAGTGTCAACACCTCAGTTTTTTGGTAAAGAAGTTAGTGCTTACAGTGTTTTAGAATTTCTAGAAGGCAACCAACGATATTAGTTTTTGCCAGTTCTCCAAGCCAAGGATCTTTATCTTCAGCGGTGAGAGCTGACAACTTCTTCATTACAGAAACCATTAAGGTGAGGTGAGGAAGTTGATTTTCAGGCATATCTTTTAATTTACGACATTTTTTAATAAACTCCTAGAAAATTATAAATTAATTATATCACTATGTATTATTCTGAAGTGAACAGTGTAAGTCACTTAAAACATACCTTCTGAAAGTCACATTCGCAGACAAGATGAGTAAGCATGGGATCAGCAGCAACAATAATATTACGTTCAATGTCATCAACAAGACCTTTTTCAACATTTTGCATAGTAAGCACAGGTGGAGAATATCTGCAAGTTTGACCACATTTATGACTAAAGTAGAAAATTTGTAGATATATTAAATGAACTAAGTGCAGTTTTATCAATATAATCTTCTCCATTACTTGTGCAATGTTAGCAGGAGCTGGTAAAGATTAGAATGACTATCTCTGAGACACCCATTTCCGCTACCAAACTGCTCACATAATTTGGCAATGATTTTCAATATAAAACTTGTTGTTTTCAATAGACGAGATGTACTTTTGGCATCTTTAGATGTTCCTGTCAACTGCTCTAATTTGTTGCTAATATCCAAACAAAGGTAAGATATTGGATAAGCAATATTCAATCTGTCTCTTATGGATTCAAGATACAACTGTATAATTTTGGCATATCCTTTCCATTGTTCTGCCATAGTTTTTATGTCAAGACTCATAACTTCTTCTCCAATTTCTGAAAGGACCTGTAGAACTAGAGATGTTACATACAAAATTACTTAATGGCCTGATTAATTGATTTACTTGTTTTGTATTACAATCTGATAAGGTTCAGAGGGCATAGAATATAACACCTACTCGGTACTCATCTGCTAAACCCCAGATGTTTACATACCTTCAACTAGGTGAACAATATCAGTCTCAACAGAGCAATCAAAGCTAATACTTGAAGAAAGTACAGCAAAAAAACGACATTGTACTTGGTGACATTGTCGAAATAGCGCACTTAGTACGTCTGATACCACTGTGAAAAGATCACAGTACAAAGACTCACTGAAAATAATCAGAATTCATAGTGAAATAATCATTGAAATACAGAATCAATTTTCATGTAAGGAAAAAAAATACATTTACTTACCTTTCCCTACAATGCCTAAATGTCTGAAGCATTAATAAGGCAACAGTCTTTGGAACACTAGGGACTATGGATATATTTACTGACCCTTGACCTGCTATATACTGTAGGACACACTCCATACATTTAAGTAGCTCAATTACTACCTACAAAATAAAGAATAAAAAACAAGTTAAACAAAACATGTTTTTTAAAACGAAAATTTTGAAAGTTCTGAAAGTAAATAAATACTTGAAGAAGGCTTGACAAAGTTTCTGCAGCATCAAAACATTCAGATGACGTGTCACTCAAACGCAACTTAATTCCCTCCAAAGACTGCAAATAAAAAGAAAAAATAATATCAGAATTCACTTTTAAGGTCAAGATGGTTGATTGATTAGTTGACATCTAAAAATTCCTCAGGCACTTAATGAAAAACAAAACACCACCTCATAAAATAATTGTTGAGCAGCTGGCAGAGCATGGCGTAAAAGGCACTCATTTGCCTTTTCAAGGGATAAGGACGGTAAGCAGGTAACAAGAAGAGCATAAACTGACTGAAGAACGCGTCCTTTGTCATCACTGCTAACGTGTCTGTATTTATTTGATAAGGTTTGAGAAGCTCAACAATAAATAATTGCTTTTTGTGAAAAATGTTGACAACATGAATCAAAGTCTAAAAACACTCATAGTAAAACGGAATTTATGTTTAATGTGTTAAAGGATATCAGAAGTTCTTGAAGAATGCTGTCGATATTCTGTTCAATTTCTTCCGTGGACCACTCTGCAAGCCTCTCGAAAATCTCAAGTCCGGGCCCTTGAGATGTCATGATGACATAAGGTTAAGTTTTCGTGAACATTCAGAAATCTGGCATAATCCGCAAATACAGTGACGATTTGTGATAAATGATAGGACAGATCTGTTTCCACCGCAATGATCGTACTCAACGATGAATACTACAGAACATTTTTTGGAATTGATTGTTGTTTACAATACAAAAATTCAATACGAAAACAACATTGTATTTAGGCGCCTTGGCGCCTTAAAATATGCCGGGCTCATCGCAGAAATACCAACTGTACAGGCGCCACTTTTATTCCGATTCATCATGGTGCCTTTCCACATACGTTTAAAATTTCGGAAGAATTTTGTTATTTTAGAATTAAATCATTATCTACAATACTTTTTTATGATTTTATTGTTTTAATAGATAACAACAAATGGATTTCTTTCATATTTTGAGGTTCTTACCCTGCCTTAGTGTGCGGTGTGCATATGAGAAATACGTTCTATGAGAATATTCGACCCGTGTAAATTTTTGTCCACGAGCAGACAATTTCTTGTTTCTCGTTTCGTTTTTCACTAGCTATTCTATTATTATTATGAGTAATTATTAGATAATGATCCCTCGTATTTTTGAAAACAAACAAACTAAAGTTACTCTGTTTTTGTGACTTACACCTATGCTACCAGCTTAACACAAATCTTCAGAACGACACCCACATGGAAGTTCGAAATTTATTTGAAGTGTAAATTTGTAAGAATAAGTTTTAAGGAAGGTTAGTAAAACTATGGACAACGTGTAAATATTAATCACGGGACTTTATAGTGGTCTGAGCGCCGTTGTATCAGCACAAATTTTATCTTGCTCTAAAATATTTACGTTGTTTTGAGTCAGTTACGAAACATTGGGGTAGGGCAGGTGGCTAGCAGACGCTTCTGTGTCTGTGTAGAGTTTCGTTCGTTGGGTTGTCTTCTGTGTTGGCCTGTGAGGAAAATGGATGGCAACTAGGCTCCAGGCTAAGTTCTGCGAGATGTCTTTCATCGAATTTATACCTAAAATCTGCTTGAATGATTCGGAAGATACTGCACGGACTTCTTGACAAGAGGTCAGTTTGTTCAAAATATACAAAACCGACCCCGCACTTGAGTGAAAGTGAGACGTGTCTGGTTCACATACGCGTATGAAGACAGCATCACTAACATTTTCGGAGCCATTTGTTATTATTCGCTCGTGTGGAAGCATAACATTTGCGCTGCACAATCTCTTTGTATCTTAAATCGCATTATCAATGACTTAAAACAAACTTGCACATCATTTGAAGGTTAGGATACAACTGGGTTTACCTCCTCCTTTCCCTGAGTTTCCACTTCATCTTCATGCTGTAGTCAATAAAAACATTCACTGCAGCAGACCTCCAAATGAATTTATTTTTCTGTGTTCATAGAAAACTCCAAGTATTTACAGAATCAATATTTTTCATATGCCTCTCACATTTGCATTTAAGAATAACCCTTCCATTTAATTCATTATGAAATGAAGGTTATGTTTTCTAGACGTGTTAGTAGGTAAATAGTGTCTTCATCATTTTCAGGAATTGTTACAGTAAACCCTATTGAGGTCCTTGGCAAAGGTAAAGGTAAACCAGAAATCATTTCCCATTCCCTATGTAGTTTTGAGTAGCTGGCAATGTATTTAGTAGGCTTATGCCTATAGACTTTCCTTGGTTTGTGATTTCATCTTGTTACTAAATAAAATCTCATGTAGAAGTACATTATATTTTATTTTTGGTCTTTCAGTCACTATTAGTGTATACTACTGCTTTCTTTTATCACTAACAATTGTGCTTTTTGCCATTGAATTATTGCTCTTTTAATCTCTTGCCAACATTTGCGTACAATTTTCCACAATTGTATCTTTTTCTTAAATTCCTGGTAACTATTGGTTGCATGCATTTTCTTTCAAAATACGTTCAGCGCAGAGTGGCTGTAAAATTGACAAGTAGCCAGTGTCTCCAATATTTGTACCCTGTTTTAGTGGTGTGGCCCAGCATCCTGCATAGCACTAATCTACTCTAATACCATTTAGTTTTCTTGCATGTCTTTTAGAAAGTACGCTCAATAAATGTCATTAATTAAATAAAAACCAAACTGAATATACACTAACACAAGGATGCTTTTTTCAGGGCTCATCTTGAGAGTGGGAGAGAAGACTGCAAAATACAGGATTTGCCCCAAAACTGTCTTGAAGGTGAATTTGTTTTCCTCCTTTGTTTTCGATTTCTCTCTCTCTCTCCCCAACAGTTTTTGTTTTTGTATAACAGCAGAATTCTGTTTTTATTTTTTTCATAGGACCCAGTATGTATGGATGTTCGAGTGGAAGACGAGCACGAGGGTAAGTTGGTTTCGTTTCTCCCTCTTCTTGAACATTTTTTGTTTGGGTTTGTGCCGGGCACACACCAAAGCGCAGCTAAAGTGGGGAGGGGGAGGGGGGATGTAGTAGTCGCCCTTGGTGAGCCGCTTCCGCTCGCTCCCGTCGTCAGATGACCAGCCATTGGCAGAAACGTGTTGTTCGTCTCTTTCTCCCGAGCTCCGAATCCTGGTGTATTTGGTTTTTCTTTGGGAATCTCCGGCGCGAGAGTTCTACCGTCGCGCTGGTTTCCTATCCGGCACAGCGCCTGTCAGTCTGAGCGGAGTTCGGTTGTATCTGGAGGGGATCGCCGAGTGACAGTGCTTGTCGTGCGGTATGGGGATTATCGGAGGGGACACAGCCGAGGGATCGTCCAGACAAGTGCGTCCGTTTTCCTCAGATTCATCGGGCAAGTAAACGGGAGCTCGAGCTCGGCGCCTGCGAGACTCGGGGTAGGCCACTCCGCAGTACACGCATGCACAGCATGCAAGATATTGCCTACCCACCGGGCGCTAGAGGGTCTGCGGAAATTCAACTGGGCTGTTTCGCAACGGCGAATGACCGACGTACTTTCTGGATGATCCCCAAAGCCGTGTGCTAAGGACTAACCCCCCCCCCTTCCCATTCCACCTCTCTTCCTTTCAGACATGTACCATCCCGTACCTGTCCGCAGTTCTTCCTAGTATGTTTCAGGAGGAAACTGCTGGCCCACGAGTCAGTTTGTCGCGCCAACGTGCCTGCCCGGTGGTTAGCGGACGTCGCCTATGCTTTTGGACATGTTTTGGAGACGTTTTCACAGTTGTATTCATTCAGCAGTACACACAGAAGTGATTTCAAATCGTAATAAGCGTCTGTTCGCAGGCCCGCCCATGTGCCAGCTCTGACTGTGGGCGTGGACAGAGTGACACGCAATCTGCGTATCCCCCCTCGCGCCTCTCTGGCCCCCATATCCTCTTCCCGTCCCTCCAGATCGTTTTGGCGAATCAAGTTGACCCCAATGCGTCGACGCGTTTGCGCCTCGGGGGGGAATCTCCCCTCCCCCACGAACCTGCTCGTCGTCGTCTTCGTCAGGGACGTCGTTGACGTTGGACGTCCGGCCGGCACGGTGTGGCCGAGGATGCTGATCTGGAGAGCGCCCAGCCCGGCCGAACGAGTGGCCCATCGAGATGACATGGGTAGATTGTTCCTCTGCGTGCTCAACGATTTGGAGGTCAGTCCCGACCCCTGCCCTCGCCCGCCTCGGTCCTACTTCGACCCTACCACTGCTCCCGCTCGCTCACCTACCCTGCTCGATGTTAAAAGCCTACGAAGTCGTTTTACGAAACATTCATTCTTCTTGCTAGACTTCGTTGTGTAAGTTTTAACTGTGTGCGCCCGCACCCATACCCCATCGCTACCCCGCCTATACCCCGCTACCACGCCTACCGCGCTTACCGCGCTTACCCC